GGAGAATTATTTTTTTATTTTTTTTCAGCCAAAGGATTAATATAGACTTAGTTCTTAATGATTTGTGAGATCTAATTAAATTCATATACACTGCTTCTCTTTTATTTATGTATCACTTGTGATTATTATCAATTGTGTTTTGATTGGTTGATACAAACTGGTCATTTGTTCGATTGTTGAAACAAATATCGTTATTTAGAACTTAAATCCGTAATTGTTTGATTGTTTTAATATATGTGGCAAATAGTATAGCTGATTACTAAGGGTTGTCAATTGTATGCTTAAGAAGATATATGATATAGTCCAAATTATCTTAAACGTGCGTTTGGTGGCTAGAATTGGTGGTCCATGCGTTTGTTTTAATAACTTAGTGGTCCTTCTAGATTTTAGTATCTAATACAAGTCTCGCACCCCGGCCGGCTGGAAATCGTCTAAAGCTCGTTCTCCTCGCCGGTTGAACACGAACCTGCACGAAACTCCCACACCGGATGTGTTTTTCGGTGAAGAGCCTCTAACGCTCAAGTCAGATCTTGAGAGATAATATAAGTGTATGAAAATATGTAAGAGTATGTGAGATTTTTCTAAAAGTGATGATTCTCGCCCCTATTTATAAGGGCGAGCTACCTGTTCTACACGCGCGAGTAGGGCGAGTTCGGGCAGCTGTCCTCTGCTCGTCCGTACAACTGCGCGCCTCCACTATCCTTGATGTCAGAAAACGCGTCCCATTTGTCAGAGAATGTCAGAGTTCGTTATAGCCATAAGCCACTCTTAGAACGCCGCGTGTCCTCCCTTTCACGTGCTGGAGATTCCTTTATGCGCTCCGTTGTTCGACCAATTCTGTACGACCACGCCCTATCCGACCATGCTCCCTCGACCATCTCCTCGAGTAATCCGCATTTTTCGACCACTTCTGATCCGTTAGTCTCTGTTGTCTGCTCTCTGTCCTCCATTGTAGATGTGTCCGGTCCGTCTCGACCGTATCGTTCGACCCATTCTTATTTAGGTAATCCGACGAATCTGTCTATTTTCTTCGGTTAGCCCAACAAACTGGTCTAGTATATAATATCCTATATCATATCTAGGGTTGTCTATTGACTAGAGAAATAAGCATAACTGGTTTAATTGAGAATAGATGAATTACTTTTGCATCCGTGATCGAATTGTTGAACCATCTCTAAGTTTTCCCTTTTGTTGGATATTTTGTCAATTTAGTTCACTTGCTTTTTTTTGTCTTACTTTAAAATTAATTTTATTTTATTTTTCTAGCTAGATAAATCATCAAACCCCTATCATTTTTATTTTTATTTCTTTTATGAATAATTGCATCAATAATACCCTGTCTAGTCAATCTCTGTGGATACGACTCTACTTACCACTACTACCGTTATTATAGAAGCATGAATTTAATTATTATTGCTCATCGATAACAATTACATATTGACTATTAACTAGTACAGAACCCGTGCGATGCACGGGGTGCACAATTTTAAGGTTATTTATCCATTCTTATAACTAGTACAGATCCCGTGCGATGCACGGGGTGCACAAAATTAAGGTTATTTATCAAATCTTATAATTATATAAATGAATAAAGAAAAATGTACGGGATATATATAGTACGTGACCTGTAAAAGGCCAAAATGTGAACACGGGTGATGCACGGGGTGTACAATTTTAAGGTCATTTATTAGTACAGAGTCCGTGCGATGCACGGGATGCACAATTTTCTAGTATGTGTAATACAAATACATACCGTATGCACAGGACAGAAGCACTAAATGAGTTATTTCCACAGAGCTCGCCCGCTAAGTAGCTCCTGAACACGGTGCACAATTTATAGTACGTACTATAAAATCAGAACAAATTTCCATACAATTAGATAATAAATTAGATAATAAATAAAGCCTTTTTTATTTTAGTAAAGATTTTACGTACTTTTTTTTTTTACTTATCGGATGTTATGAGATTTTTTTTTGTTAAACTGATTTTGTGCTGATATGATACAAATACAATTAGAGGATTGAACAAAATCAAAACAAATTTCTATACAATTAGATAATAAGAAGGAATTAGATAAGGAAAAAAAGAAATTAGATAAAGAATTTTGAATCTACCTTTTTTTAGTATAGATAGACTTTACGTACAAATTTTGACTTCACCGATTTTATGAGTTTTGTTTTCACAAAATCAAAGACGAACACTGAAGACTATTTCTATTAACATTTACAATGTGTATTTATTTTTTTTAGCAAAATATTCTTTCTAAGTGTGATATATAAATATTAAACACTTAGAATATTTTATAACATCTATAAAAGCATCTAAAATATTTTATATTATTCACAAATAATGTTTGAAGCTACCTAAATTTTTGTAAACTACCCGTAAGGAAAATATGTCTAAAAATTCTTCATTTAACCTCCATATATGTATATATATAGAGAGAGAGAGCAAACGTGTAAAAAAAATTATACAAATAATATTTAAAAGTATCTAAAATATTAGTAATTAGACAGGTGAAATTTAAATTTTTAAAATCTATATAGATAATGGATTTATAGTAGTAATTAGACTTTTATTTATTTACGTTTAAAGTTGTTACGATAGATGAGGGATGTGATTTTTTTGACTCGTGGAGATGGAATTTTATAAGTTGGGTTATGAAATTTTCATAAACTCGTCCATATCTATGCGATGAGCTTTTTAAGCTGGGTATATAAATTTAAAATTGTTAAAAAAAAAACTTTCATAAATCATTTGATTTGGTGTTTTCGGAGAGCTTCATTAATTTAAAAGTGTAAAATAAATAAATAAAAAATGTACAACTGAAAAAGTTACAACCAATTGTATGGAGAATTAAACTAAGTCCAATTTTGTAGGATGCATTAAATATTGATTAGATTTTATATGTAAAATAAAATAAAAAAATAACTGGAATAGTTTTACGTGTTGCAATATTTTATATTTAAAAAAATTAAAAAATCTTCTTTTACGTATTGCATACCAACATTTTAGGAACTACATGGATATTCCTAAATTAATATTACATACCCAATATTTTAGGAACTAATTAAATGCTAATTTGATTTGCATACCAAAAATATTAGTTTCATTAATTAAATGCTTGATACAAATAGTAAATCATTAATTAGGGTTGAATATTCTAAATACTACATTTAGTAAATAGTTTAGCTTTTAATATAAGTATAGATTATATTAATGAATAAAAAAAATGTACGGGATATATATAGTACGTGACCTGTAATAGGACAAAATGTGAACACTGGTGATGCACGAGGTGCACAATTTTAAGGTTCTTTATTAGTACAGAGCTCGTGCGATGCACGGGGTGCACAATTTTCTAGTATATGTAATAAAAATACATACCGTATGCACGGGACGGAAGCACTAAATGAGTCATTTCCATAGAGCTTGCCCGTTAAGCAGCTCCTGAACACGGGTGCACAATTTGTAGTAGGTACCATAAAATCAGAACAGAATTCCATACAATTAGATAATAAATTAGATAATAAATAAAACCATTTTATTTTAGTAAAAATTTTACGTACTTTGTTTTTTTACTTATCGGATGTTATGAGATTTTTTTGTTAAACCGATTTTATGGAATATAATACAAATACAATTAGAGGATTGAACAAAATTAGAACAGATTTTCATACAATCAGATAATAAAAAGGAATTAGATAAGGAAAATAAGGAATTATATAAGAAAAAGAAGGAATTAGATAAGAAATTTTGAATATGACTTTTTTTTTTGGAAAAGATAGACTTTACGTACAAATTTTGACTTCACTGATTTTATGTGATTTATTTTGACAAAATCGATGTTAATATGGAATAAGACAAATAAATTAAGTCTTTTTATTTTAGTAAAGATTTTACGTCTTTTTTTTACTTGTCATATGTTATGGAATTTTTTTTTCTTAAACTGATTTTATGGGATATAAGACAAATAAATAAAATAATTAAATAAAATTCTGGATAAAAATAGCAATGCATTAATTACGTTGACTTTTCAATCTACTAAATTTGGTAAATAGGATACCTTATATAATAAGTATAGATACAAATAAATAACATGCTAAAATTTTACATAATAATTAATATATTTTAATTTATTATCTAGCCATCATTAATATTATTTAATGATGTGATCATTATCTCTTAAATGATAAATAAAATATTAATTTAAAAAAAATATTTGTTTTTATATACTCAAATAAAAATTAAAAAATACAATCGACAAATAATATATATCAGTAAAATCATTGCAGAAATTAATAAAATTATTTAAGAAAAGAATCTTTTTGGTCATATTTGAATAGGAAATGTATATATGCAAGCAATTAATGCATACAGTAAAAAATTTCTAAATAAAGTATGCATTAAATGTGAGTTGACTTTTTTTTGCTACTATTTTTGGTAAATAGTATGACTTTTAATATAAGTATAGATAGATTAAATATTCCTTAGAATAAGGATCTTGCCTCCCAAATGTCAACCCGGTCAAACCTGGATTGTATAAAATTAAACCCACCATTTCTAATCCCACATACCTACCCACATTAGATCACGTTATAAAGTTAACATCACATGTTTTCCTTAACAGAACCCACGTATGTGAATCTCCGCGCTAGACATGGCCACGGGTCAACTGACCTGTCGACCCGGCACGGAACTGGTCTGGACAAACCCGTTGACCACGGGTCTGGGACCGGCTCAGATTTCAACCGGGCCGATCTAGGGCCGGGAATTCTTTTACCCTGACCTGTCGGGCCGGGCCGGGTCCGTTCTAGCACGGAAAAAATGTATGATTTTCAAATTTCTTTTTTTATTTCGGCGGGCCCAGACCCGGGCTGGGCCCGGCACAGCCTGCTGCCAGGTCATGGATCTGGCACGGACCTAGGTCGTGTCTGTTCAGGGTCTGCCAAACCCAACCCGTCGGCCTGCCTGGCCAGGCTGGGCCCGCTGCTCCGCGCATGAGGGATCTCATGAGTCATAATAGTGATTACTACACTATAAAGGCCGCCACAAACCCTCAAAAGAACACTCACCCAGAGCAACACAAAGCACAACTACTCTCAGAAGAGTAAAAATAAATAAATAAATAACAAACAACATGAGCAAAGTTGTTCGGCTCATCATAATGTGACCGTCTTAGGTTCGGGGGAGACCACAGTTGTCCTCAGCCATGGAGCCGGCAGTGACCAGTCGGTGTGGAGGCACCTTGTCCCACACCTCGTGGATGATTACATTGTCATTCTCTATGATGACATTGGTGCTGGGACCACCGAACCCAACCTCTACGATTTCAACCGTTACTCATCCGTCGATGGCTACGTGGAAGATTTGATCGCCATTTTGGACGAACTCAAAGTCGAGGGATGCATTTTCGTCGAGCACTTGCTGTCCCCTTTGGTGGCCGCCATAGCCTCGATTTCTAGACCCAAACTATTCCGTAAAGTGATCATGGTTTCCGCTACCCCCAGGTACATTATATTTAGTACTATCTTCTTATATGTAATTTTTTGGGGGTTCTTATTAATTTGTAATGGCAATTTCATTAGAGTGGGAAACTCGGAGGACTACCACGGAGGCACCGACCAGGAAACGATCGACCATATGTTAGCCTCCTTGGAGAAGAATCCCATTTTCTCTTTCTACGCTGACACGGCCCCGCAGGTGGTGGGCGGCAGCCCGGACTCGGTAGCCGTGGAGGAGTACAAAAGAACCCTCAATAAGGGACGGCCTGACATCGCCTTAAGCAGGGGCCTCTTTATATTCTCTTATGACCTGAGGCCATACCTTTGCCAAATCATCGTCCCCTGCCACATCATCCAGAGTTCCAAGGATGTGATTGTGCCAGTCGAGGTGGGCGAGTACATCCACCGGAGCCTGGGCGGGAGGTCGGTCTTGGAGTTGATTCCAACAGAGGGTCACTTGCTGCATCTCAGCTCCCCGGAGCTCACAAACCCGGTGCTGCTCCGCCACATACGGTAGGACATCTAGTTATTGGGCGTGGTTTGATGTCTTTAATTTTAGTCTTTAATTGGACGGTGCTAGTTACTTTGGTTACGGGGCCTTTTGTATCGTTTGATGTTGAAAATTGTTCTAGAGTGGGTTCTAATCTATCTATATCTATATCTATCTATCTATCTATATCTATATCTATACTACTTTAAAAGGAGGAGTGTTTTTTGTAAAAATTCATAATGCCTAAAAAACCCTTACTTTGACATAAATTTAATTGCAAATTAGTAATACACTAATACACATCATATTTTATTTATATTTTTAATTAAAAAATGAACTACCTAAAACACCATTACTTTCACATGTTTTTAATGGCAAATATACTAATGTCATCATATCTTATATCCTCCCTATATATAATTAAACAAACATAACTTTTTCTCAATTCAACATAAGCAAATCAATGAAAATAAAATATTTTAAAAAAATTTATGAACAAAAGTTGACTCGACAATAATCTTAAATTTATGAATTGTAAATATTTAATTAAAATATTAATTAAAAATTGTAATTAAATATAATATAATATAAGATATACACAAATATTTGATATATAATGAGGCAGATGATCAAAAAAATTCTATACTTTATATTATGTCTTTTTTGACAAATCTACAGTTAAGAACATATGAAAGAACAAGATTATAAAGTTCTAAAAAATATTAAATATAATAAATAATATGAATAATAACTAAGTTGTGACACGTACTAATAAATATAAAAGAAACTAATAAACAAAAATAATATAATTAATATAACTAAATATAAACCTTCTAAAAATATACTTATCGATGTAATCGAACTGAGTTGTTAAACGCTTGTTAGTTTTTTGTTTTAATTAATTTTATGTGTAAATTTGAGGTGATAGACAATAGTTATTTGTACATTTATACATGTAGATTAGAAAAAAAAAAATTATTATTCTAATTTTAAATAACTTTTTTATTTACTATATTAGGTTTTTAATATAATATATAAGTATCATATTGAACAGATAAAACAAGAAATATTTTAATTATATAATATTTAATATGTAAGAAATATAACTCAATTGGTAAATTAATAGGTAATCTTGGGATAAAATAATGAGTGATTTCTGAAAAAAAAAAAATTATAGGAACTAAAAAGTTCACGTGTTTAATATATTTTTAATAGAAAATTGTAAACACAATTATTCAATAAATACTACATAAAAAATATAAGAAATCTTATATCCTCCCTATATATAATTAAAAACATAACGTTTTTCAATTCAAAATAAGCAAATCAATGAAAATAATATATTTTTAAAAATTTTATAAACAAAAGTTGACTCGACAATATTATTAATGAATTTATGATTTGTAAATATATAGTTAAATTATTAATTAATTTTTTTTAAATATAATATAATATAGGGTATACAAATATTTGATATATAATGAGGCAGATGATCGAAAAAATTCTATTCTTTATATTATGTCTTTTTTTGACAAATCTACAGTTAAGAACATGTGAAAGAACAAGATAAAGTTTTAAAAAAAAATATTAAATACAAGAAATAATATGAATAATAACTAAATTTTGACACGTACCAATAAATATAAAACAAACTAATAAACAAAAATAATATAATTAATATAATTAAATATATACCTTCTAAAAATATACCTATCGATGTAATCGAACTGAATTGTTAATCTATACTACTTTAAAAGGAGGAGTGTTTTTGTAAAAATTCATAATGCCTAAAAAACCCTTACTTTGACATAAATTTAATTGCAAATTAGTAATACACTAATACACATCATATTTTATCTATATTTTTAATTCAAAAATGAACTACCTAAAACACCATTACTTTCACATGTTTTTAATGGCAAATTGGTAATATACTAATGTCATCATATCTTATATATCCCCTATATATAATTAAACAAACATAAATTTTCTCAATTCAACATAAGCAAATCAATGAAAATAAAATATTTTAAAAAATTTATGAACAAAAGTTGACTCGACAATAATCTTAAATTTATGAATTGTAAATATTTAATTAAAATATTAGTTAAAAAATTGTAATTAAATATAATATAATATAAGATATACAAATATTTGATATATAATGAGGCAGATGATCGAAAAAATTCTATACTTTATATTATGTCTTTTTTGACAAATCTACATTTAAGAACATATGAAAGAACAAGATTATAAAGTTTTTAAAAAATATTAAATATAAGAAATAATATGAATAATAACTAAGTTGTGACACGTACTAATAAATATAAAAGAAACTAATAAACAAAAATAATATAATTAATATAACTAAATATAAACCTTCTAAAAATATACTTATCGATGTAATCGAACTGAGTTGTTAAACGCTTGTTAGTTTTTTGTTCTAATTAATTTTATGTATAAATTTGAGGTGATAGACAATAGTTATTTGTACATTTATACATGTAGATTAGAAAAAAAAAATTATTATTCTAATTCTAAATAACTTTTTTATTTACTATATTAGTTTTTTTAATATAATATATAAGTATCATATTGAACAGATAAAATAAGAAATATTTTAATTATATAATATTTAATATGTAAGAAATATAACTCAATTGGTAAATTAATAGGTAACCTTGGGATAAAATAATGAGTGATTTCTGAAAAAAAAAATTATAGGAACTAAAAAATTCACGTGTTTAATATATTTTTAATAAAAAATTGTAAACACAATTATTCAATAAATACTACATAAAAAATATAAGAAATCTTATATCCTCCCTCTAGATAATTAAAAATATAACGTTTTTCAATTCAACATAAGCAAATCAATGAAAATAATATATCTTTAAAAATTTTATAAACAAAAGTTGACTCGACAATATTATTAATGAATTTATGATTTTTAAATATTTAGTTAAATTATTAATTAATTTTTTTAATTAAATATAATATAATATAGGATATACAAATATTTGATATATAATGAGGCAGATGATCGAAAAAATTCTATTCTTTATATTATGTCTTTTTTTGATAAATCTACAGTTAAGAATATGTGAAAGAACAAGATAAAGTTTAAAAAAAAATATTAAATACAAGAAACAATATGAATAATAACTAAATTTTGACACGTACTAATAAATATAAAACAAATTAATAAACAAAAATAATATAATTAATATAATTAAATATATATTTTCTAAAAATATACCTATCGATGTAATCGAACCGAATTGCTAAACGTTTATTAGTTTTTTGTTCTTATTCATTTTATGTGTAAATTTGAGGTGATAGACAAAAGTTATTTGTACATTTATACATGTAGATTAAAAAAAAATCTTTATTATTCTAATTTTAAATAACTTTTTTATTTACTATAATAGTTTTTTAATATAATATATAAGTATGATATTGAACAGATAAAACAAGAAATATTTTAATTATATAATATTTAATATGTAAGAAATGTAACTCAATTGGTAAATTAATAGGTAATCTTGAGATAAAATAATGAGTGATTTCTGAAAAAAAAAATTATAGGAACAAAAAAGTTCACGTGTTTAATATATTTTTAATAGAAAAATTGTAAACACTCAATAAATACTACATTAAAAATAATGTTTGAGAGGACTACAAAAATTTTGCTATACTGCAATGAAAAATTTAACGGTAAGGTATTATACTAAAAATTTCAACGAATATAGGACTACAAAAATTTTGCTATACTGCAATGAAAAATTTAACGGTAAGGTATTATACTAAAAATTTCAACGAATATGAGCTTTCATTGGCTATTCCAATAGAGTTCAAATTAAATTACATGAACTTTAATGGATGTAAAGATTTCAATTACCTGAATTTTTATTGGAATTTATTTTTTGGACCATATTTCAATCGTCGAAAAAATTGTCATTGGTATTATGCAAAAATTCAATAGAAGTTCCATTGGAAAGATAATTGCAGTGATAGATCCAAAATAATTTCATATTGGGAGCATTATTTAGTTAACAGAAAAAATATACCATCAAAATAACATGTCATTGCAATTTATAAATTATACTTTACATAATCTATCACCTTTCTCATTTATAATACATTTTAATAAATCTATGCAATCACGATAAGGTAAAATATATTTAATAAACCAAAAGTCGAGATTTTTCTAAAATCAACATAAGAAAATCGTTATATTTGTTGTAATTTTTGTTGGATTTTTATTCGATCGAGTTCTAGCTAGCAAGATGTCGATTACACACCGGAGGTTGGTCAGAACTGAGGTTCGATATAATTGACCCTCCGTGGTCCCTTCCGTTTCTCCTATTTCTCATTTTCTTGTAGTAAAACTAAGACTCCAAATTTATAAAAAAAAATACATTATATATAATATTGTGTGCAACTATTATTATGAAAAAAATTTTATACGATAGAAAATATAACACATTAGATGTAATTGGCGTTCAATTTATGATAAGAATTAATTTTTTTCAAAGCAAACAAGATACTTTGAAAGGTCCTTAATTATTTTATTAGTATTGTAATAACTAAATAAGGGGTAAGAAAGATGACAAAACTTATAACTCTCATTAAATCCAAAAGGAAAAATGCTAATAAAATTACTTAATGTACAATATCAATTGGAGCTGGCTAATGATAAATATAAAACATACTTAAGATACACATATATTTTAACTAAAACTTTTAAGTACATAATATATATATATATATATATATATATATATTCATATTTATATTTCTTTAAAAGTGGGTATGTCAATCTTAAAATTTTTTAGTTAAGATTTTTATTACTTTCTATCATTAATTTTTTTTTTAATTTTCAAATACTTCATATTTTTTATTTGCTACCTTTTTATATGTAATATATAACATCATTTATTTTCAATGATGTTTGAGTTGACCCATATATTGCAATAAAATAAAAATAATATAATTATTTATATTAATATAAAATAATATATATA